GTAAGATGAGCCAGTGGGTAAATTGACCCACCCCTTTTATCTAGTGCACTGTGCACATTTGTTGTCATGTGACCATAGATTCAGGAAAGACCCATCATTTATATTTTGGTGTGACATTTAGAAGCACATGGTAAAGTGGCAAATGTTTTTTGTTCACAATAAACCATGTTTTGCTTGTCAAAGTACATTTCAACTTGTCAGGTATAATTACAGTTGTGTCAAAGCAAATGAATCCAGGTCTAAAAATATGTAGCAAGGTGTAAAACCATGTGAATCATTTAGCTAAAGATTAGCATAAATGACTGAGCTAGACAGTTATTTTCCACAAAGTGAGACAAATGTTGTGGGGTAATTGAGCCAGAAGTTCAACTTAACCCCCCATGAGGCACTGAAGTTAAGTTAAGTCTTTTTAGTATATGGTATTTGAATTTAGTTTCACACAACTGATGTGTTTTTTATGTTTTAAGCATTGTAGAAAAGGCTAACATGCCAAGAACGTACAAGAGAAAGACTGAGGAGATGGAGAGAGCAGCCACTGATGGCAAGGCTGGAAGATCCATCAGAGCAGTGGAAAAAGACAGAAATATTGACAGGTCAACCCTGCGTAGATACATAACAAGGAAGGAGGAAAGGAAGTGAAAACAGTAGGGTACAGTGGAACAGCAGAGACAAAAAGGGTCTTCACACAGGAGAAAGAAGGAGCATGCAGACCATATCAAAAAACTAGCTGACCAGATCCATGGCCTTACTCCAAATAAATGCTTTGAACTGACTTTTGAATTAGCAGACAGAAACAACACTCCTGTACCAAACAACTCAGGTTTGAACTAAACATTTGTCAAATCACCTCTAGATGGCTCAATTTACCCCTTGACTTGGATCAACCCCATACCTCTTAGATGGGGCAAGATAAGACCACTTTTTTTTCAAGTCATATTTTCAAGGCCCTTTGCGATAGATACATTCTTATAATTGTGGTTGACAGAGGACATCCTGAATTAAAGGTTGCTGTTGTCATTGGACTTCTATCCAACTTTTCCTTGCCTAGAGGATCTCATAAGTCAAAATTAGCTCATCTTATTTTAATATGAGACATACCCAAAGGGATATTTTCTGTACAGATTTACACTTAGAAAAACATTTGGTTAATTAATCATAAAAAATAACAAATAATGTGATACTGGAGTAATTTTCATACAAAATGTCAGAAACATTTCTGTTTTCAGTCCCTAAAATATGGACATTTCCTGCTTTTCTCTGCTTCATATCATATTTAACTGAACCTCTTTGGGTTGTGGACTGGCTAAGTCATTTGAATACACCATCCTAGACTTTAATCATTGATGAAAGTAATTTCTAGTTGCAGCATTATAATAAACTATATTATATCACTCCCCAAATTGCAAAAATGAAACTACTTTCAGAAAAATAATTTAACAGCAGATGTGACTTGAATGTTCACGTCTCCAATAGATGTTTGCTGAAATCAGCTTGTGAAAAATGAAATGAACTCACAGAGAAAGAGAAAGGTGATATATAGAAAGGAGAATTGAGAGAGTGAGGAGAGTGAGATAGGAGGATAAGGCTGAGCTGATTTTCTTTCTCCAATAAAAGCAACAACCCCCCAGTGTTGCTATGGCGACCTCCTCTCTCTCCCTTCCTTTCAGCCAGCTACCACTTATCCTCGCTGCCTTTCAGTCAGCCGGGCATGTGGGTGTGTGTGCTTTTGTGTGATGGCTCCTGAATGAATCAAGCAAATGAAGAGGAAAGCCATTAGAGAGCCAAGTCAAATTGTTTCTCACACACACACACATACACATAAATACACACATAAATACACATAAATACACATTTATACATAATAATGTAAAACCACCAGCTGCAAAAATGATTAATTTCTTGTTCACTTACTACTCTGTTTTCTTAGTTCATTCTCTATTTGTTTTGCTCTTATGTCTCACAGTATATTCTGCAGTAGCTGCTCTGTATCCACTATTTTCGCTTTTTCATAATCACTCTGCTTGATTTTCAGCTACCACACGCCTACATGAAAACACACATATCCTCTGCACCGCTACTCTCTGTGAATATGTTCTACAGTCAAAACATAAACAGTGTGTGTTGGAATTTTTTCCAAGAGCAAACGGTCAATGATCATAAAAACGAAGCATTGAATACAATAAAACAAGAATCAACAGAGTTCCAAAGTATTCAATGATCGCAAAATATATACTTTAATTCCACTATTTGATGGTTGCTAAAGTATCAAAACTACTTTCAATGCAAGTTTGAGATGACTTCACAGAGAAAGAAGGATTCACTGCAGTTAGACTTGATTTTACAATTGCCTCAAGTAAAAATGAGCAGCATGGTCTCACAGGCACTTTTGTTTTCATGCTGTGGATGATCTGCTTAAATTCTGTGTGATTCAACATCACCACTGGTGCATATATTTGTCATTTCTGACCAGAGGCTGTGTTTCTCAAGAGTCTCTTCACAAGCACCTCATTTTAAAAGTTCTCTAAGTGCCTCAATTAAAAATGCATGTCGTCATGCCAGATTCTGGCAGCTGCCAGTATCGTTTGACCCAGTAAAGACCCTGGATCTCATGTCTCCTCAGACTTACTAAATATTTAATCGTTTTAAAGACGCATCAAATAAACCTGTATTGCATTTTGTATTTTAACACTTTAAACCCTTTTTGAATGCTTTGCTGCAATCAATAAAGTAGAGTTGGGCAAACGGGCTGGTAGAAGTAATAAAATGATGAAATATTCATGAACATTTGGGGTTTTTATTGCATATCATAGATACCTTCTGGTAAGGATGAATCCATAACACTTGTAATTGCTGCTAAAAGCTATACTTACAGTTAGAGTGGCAAGATCACATTTTTCCCACAATGCATAATATCTTTATAGACACATATCTGGTGATCCCGAGATGTGATGTGACATGTATATCAGATCCATTAATGGACAAATATATCTTTATGATGATGGCAATAAAGGAAGACATGTGCCCTCTGATCATACCGTTTTTGTGACTACAGGTAGAATATGTTGCGTGCATCAAGATTGAGTAGTATCCTGCTTTTTTCTACAGCTTAAGGAGTAGGGCTATGCTGAAAGACCTTCAGCTAAGTGCTATCTTAGATAATGTGGTTGATTTGGGTTCTAATATTTCTTCCACAACCACTTGAAGCAGATGACAGACCTGATTTTTTTGGCCACTTGGGGGCAGCAAAACAGGCTGTAAACTGAATTTGAAACTTTTTAGCCAACAGATGTCTATTTATGCATCCAGGTAAAAACTGTTTATTCCTATGTTTACCAGTCAGTCACTAACTCTGTCTGCAGTTGGTGCTGGCAGGCAGCAAACACTTGGTGTTAAGAACTTTTTTGCTGGACTCAGCTTTCTTCTGTGGTTGGAAACAACGCTGATGATCTAAGTTAGTGTGTACCAACAGAAACAGCTGAAAAGCACTAGAAGATGCTGGGGGAACGTAAAGAGATAGGTCACATGTAACACTTTCCAAATATCATGTAGTAATTTGATACCTATAAAAAAACCTTTAGCAGCTTTAAAAAAGAGTCAGACTCAGAACTCAGGACTCGATTATGTGTCGAGACCTGCTGGCAGATAGCACGACGCTGAACTAAACTGGTTTTGGGACCAATGTGAAACCAACATCCGCTGCCCACATTAACCATCATCGCATTTCACTGCAGTAAATGTAATGTGCTTTAAGTTTTCAAGTCATATTTACCACTTTCATGAAACATTTGCCCGGTATTCTCTGCTTTAACAGCAGGTGCTGTTTTTCCTCCACTTCAGCCTCCACCTGTCTTTTACACTTTTTATATAAAGCGTATAGTCTTACACTGCTCATTTATTTCCCAAGGGGAATACTTACCATGTTGAATGTATAATATATCAAATTACTGCTGTATTACTGCAGGCTGGAGCAATCTGCAGAGTAGAGTTTTATCTCCATTCTAGGACAGTCACACTGTATTGTCTTTGTCATTTTCAATAAAAAGTCAAAGTAATGACTTATACGTTCTTCCTTTAGCTACGGAGGAGTTATTGAAAATATAGTGCTGCTTCCTGCAGAAAGTCTGGGTTCCATTTAACATACTGTATGCATAGATACCAGACTAAATTCAATTTTTCCTATACATAAATTACCACCACATGCCAGTGTGGCATTACAGGCGCTGTGTGAGGGACCTTTACTACAGAATCAGGACAAAAATGTGAGTTTTGGAATCAGAAAACTGAGAGAAGCAACTAAAAATCAATTTACACCAACATACCTAGAGTAAGCTTCTTTTGTATTTCTCTTCTTTGAATATTGTTGATTGCTAGTCTGATTAAATGGGTTGAAATACAGATTCAGTTTCTCCTTTATCTGTATTGTATTGTTTTAAAAAATATAGATTTTAAAGGTGAAATTGGAATAAGGCTTAATAAAAGCTTCTGAATCTTGAAGTTGTCTAAGTTAACAAACATATTTCAACTCACAAAATACACAATTAAAATCTGAAATGCTAAGCAATGTGTATATGTATACACTGTATATTTTTAACAATCCTGTGAAAATACCACATTGAAATGGCTCAACAGATCTGTCAGGTGGCGAGATGAGATACAGCTTGGGCTCTGAAAAAGTGCCACACTATTGTTGAATTAAGAGACAATCAACATTAGAGGTACTGCAACACAAACCTCTATGACAATGTAACTATCTATGACTTAGCATTGTGAGCCAGTCTTTAATCTGCAAAGAAAATTGCAAGCAGGACCCAAAGAAAACTTTCCATCCAGAACAATCACACACTGTAACTAACGCAAATGGCTTTGTGAAACAGGGAAAGAATAAGAGGGAGAGAGTAAGGCAGGCAATAGAAAGAGAGGAGGAGAGATGAGAAGGACGGAAGCTCTGCTGCAGAACACACCTCATCTCCATTTTAACTGGAGGGAGAGAGCGAGACAGATTCAGTCTGAGCCAATTTACTCTTCATCTCCAGTGACGGAGAGAGGAGAGCTAGGGAAGCGATATATCAGGAATCTGAAGAGATCCACAAACGTGAGACTGAGAGGGCGAAGAGGAATGTGAAGCAGTTGCAAAGAAAGCAAATGAAGAAATGACAGAGAGAGATGTAGTCGGTGCTTCAGTTGCGGTAAGAACCCCTAAACAAGCCAGTCATTGCAGCACTCACACAGACATGCAGCTGTGGATGCTATACATTCACTCTGAGTGGAAGCAGTATGATTCAAAGGTGATGTGTTAGCAGGTGTGTGTGTGTGTGTGTGTGTGTGTGTGTGTGTGTGTGTGTGTGTGTGTGTGTGTGTGTGTGTCAGGGCTCTTTTTCTCTTAAACATCTTACATTTGTTTATATGTATGTCTGCATGCAAGATGGAACTGATTCAACTGCAGGGCAATATGTGTCTTTTAGTTTTACAATATTTGGTATTATTATTATAATCTACACCCCGCACCTCTATTGCTTTCCCTCTCTCCTGCTCCCCTCTCTCTCCTTTCCACCCTGTTGCAGTGTCTCTCTGTGTCGTAGCTGGCCAGCACGATTAAACCTTATTCAATGACGAAAATATACGTCTTAAAAGTTTTTCCTCCACTCTCTGCTTCTCTCTTTCAAAGTCAAAGGCAGCTGAAGGAGAGGCATGTTTGACTTTTGCAGTACCATTGATGTGACTGGTCTGAAATAACAATCCTGTTGCTTTACATCCCATTAAGGTTCTCAAAACGTTCAAAACTGGTAGTAAACCATAAGAGTATATAGACCACCATCTAATTGGATACATCTAGTACTGCTTAGCAATATTGACTTGTTTTCCTCTCTCTTGTAGCACACGTTGAAGTCGGTAAACATATGTGTCAAGCGATAGTGGTCACACATGTCAAAAGTAATAAATAAAGGTTATTTAATTAATTTCACAGTTTCATAGCCAACTCGGGTACATATACAGTAGATACAGTAAGTCTAGCAAATGTGAATAGGTAATTTGGTGTTTGAGAGAGGGAAACAGATCCATTTATGTACAAGAGAATAATGCCCAAATGGTTTAAAAGACAAAAATATTGGCCAAGATTATAATGATCTAATATCCAAAAACAGATGCAGGTCAAACAATCCAAAAAAAGCAGTAAAGCATGTGGAGCAGAACGGCATCTTTTCTTTGGGTGCACAAAAAGATGCACAAAACCACATATGCATAAGAGCTACAGCTGGACTTGAATAGATGTTTTTGTTTGCGCTGATAGTGTCCCTGTTTTGTTAGAAGCAACCGTACAACATGTTGTGCTAAAACTGTGGTGGTATATAAATCATAGTATTGCCAGCATAGCATTCAATACTTTGGTTCCCAATTTTGGGCTTGTGAAAAAATGAATATTTTGAAATATAGGGTAATTTCTTACACTGTAAAGCAACACATAAATTGTATAGGAACTCAAGGCAAAAGCCACAACTGTTGACAAGAGTTACAATTACACAAAGCATAATTATATTCATTCACTATTTCATGTTAGACCAATATTTATTCATTATAGGTCCTGCAACTGTGTTAGAAAAACATCTACTTCCTCAGTCGACTGGAGAGTCACTTCAGATTTTGGATTAAGGTCAGTGCAGTTCTCTCTCTTACAGTAATTGTTATTACTCATCCTCATTGCTGGGGTATTGCTCTTGATAATATGTAAGCTGCAGTCATACATACTCAGACGAGCAGAGGGAGCAAATATATTCTACAGATTGTGGAGAGCTGGGCCGGGACAGAGTTAGGAAAGTAGCCGCCGATTCATAGAGATCTTCACACTCCTTTTTCCTGAATAGTTTATATTAAAATGCAGCACAAGTCTTTTGTAAACACACGTCTACAAAGAGTTATAGATTCCTGCAAAAGAAGAACACATCTTTTGGGAGAAAATGACAAAAAAGGAGGACATCATAATTAAATGATGAATCCATTATTGAGCAGGTTTCATTTGAAAAGATGAGAGAGTGGAGATGAAAGTGAATGGCTGACAGAAAAGTAAGAGGAGCCCCGGGAGGATAGAACCGCTCCAGTGTTTTTGACTTGTACCGATCAGAGCTTGGATAACGTGCTGCACTTAAAACCCAAAATGTCACCCTAAACTACAAGGTTTCTGAATGCTTATCACGTTTCTCAATAAATGTAATGTTACTTATTGGCAAGCATCTCTCCAGACGTTCTCCTCATCAGCTAACAGAAGGTACCGTACAGCCTGTGGAGATGTGAAGAACTTCCTGTTTTCATCACACCAGCTGCCAGGATAGAAATACTCTGCAAGTGTTGGAAAAAAGGTTATAAGTTCATTCATTGACAACTCAGAACTTGGTCACAGAAAATTGACACATTTTTACGATTGACAAAGTGCAGCATAAGAAATGTAGTCATGCTGCAGGTTTCCTCATTCTTATCAACTACTACAAACCAAAACAAAATCCAAAGTAAATCTCAAAACACTGAGACTGAGCGAGGATGGGAGATGTGTTTCCATGGCAACTATGCAGTAATCCTTCTCTCTGTGTCTGTGTGCGTGTGTGTGAGTCTGTTTGTCATGCAGGAAACCAGTATTGCATACAACATGACTGACAGTTGAATAATTGTTTAGAAGAGATCTGAAATGTCACTCTCCCAATGTCTACTTGACTGACAGGTCAACTTAAATGAGTACTAAGTATACTGCATCTATTAATAATGAGAGAGTGTCTCTTCTCAAACTTAAAGCCTCTCTCGCACAGATGTGTCAATTACACAACTGCATTCATTTAGACGTGGATTGACTAAAGTGTCTTTGATCAGGACGGATATATTCACAATACTAAGGTATAGTAAATGTATATATAGTATGTCTAACTATTCACACATTTCTGTAAGTGCAGCATATTTACAATGTTAGCGGTGGATATTTGCAGTTCTCCTCAGAGGCTTAGCTCATTGTTTGGGTTTGGTTAGATAACCCGTAACTTTAATGAATTTAGATTCACCTTCACCACTCTTATCAGCATAGCACCTAACTGCACCCAGTCAAAGTTAGCAGCAGTTATTGAACAGATTAAACACAGACCTTTTTCTGTGGTGGTGGTGGAGCTCCGATCTAAATGGAGAATGAAAATTGGACTTACATTCATGAGTTAGATAGACAATTCCAGATAAATAACAGTATTCTGTTGAGCACAGGTTGATAGCTTTTACTCTAACAAGTCAATGATCTGTTCATGTGATGGTTTTGTACCGTGCTCTAGATTTGAGAGCCTGCCAAATGCGCTAAATGTAAACACTGATATAACTCGTGTTCATGGTGTCTCTCCATGTGTGTGTGGGTGAGTGTGTCTGTGAATGTGTATTTGTTACAGCAGCAGCAGCTACGTTCATAACAGCCTTAAGTGTAGAAGGCTGATAATATAAAATATCCTTGGGGTCTTTTCAACTGTTACATAATAAATAATATTTTGCTTTGTTCTAACACTGAACACTGAATGTAAAACACTGACATGAAATATTTAAGTGCAACATTATTTCATCACTCGCACATGTTTACCTTTTCTCCTGTAGGCTGTAAGAAACATTGGAGTTGACAGCAGAGTGGTTTATCTCTCTATCTCCTCCTCAGGGATCTTACTACTTTTTTCATTTTTCCATATTCTCGTTTTTTTCTAAATGTGCCAAAGCATTCACAGCCAAAGATCCTTTCTGAAACCAAGATAACCTTCTGGTTTTTTTGTTTAACCTTTTGTCTTCTTGCTTATCCATCTCTTCTTCTTAACCTCTCCCTTGCTCCCTTGTCTGAAGCATTTTGCAAAGTGCATCCTTGCAAACTCTATGTAACCTTCATAGCTGAGACATTCATTGCACACCAATTTGTTTTGGAGTGGGACCTGAGGAGGTTTAACAGACTGTATCAAGCAGATGTATGTCTTTCTCTCTCTTAATCACTTTCTTTCTCTTCTTGTGTTTCTGATAAAACAGCGAGCCACTACGCTGGAAGTCCTCCACCTGTGGCCATGATGTGAGATCGATAATGTGAAAACGAAGGCCGTCTTCGAGCTTCAGCCATTGTGCAGCCCCAGATGCTCTACTGCTGAAATCAAAATTAAACGTCAACACACTCGCATGGGTCCTTGACTACAAATAGGAACATACACACTTCAGTTGTTTTAGTTGTGTTGTGGCCGCTGTAGAAGGCTGTTAACAATATAATTGCTATCTGTTCACATTTTATGAATAGTGACAATGAACCATCTGGCCCTTTTTGCAGACACACCTTAAAACTGTTAATTGCACAACTTCTCATCCATTTGTGGTCCAAATGACTCGTCTCACATCCCCATAAAAAACTCTTTCTCACTTTGTCTGAATCAGCTGCTGTGACCGGCGAGGATTATGAGGCCGACTTTAGTGTTTCTACATTTGCACTGTCTCCTGTTTGTGTTTGTTGGTGTGTGTGCCCCCATTGCTGTGGGCTCGCTAGCTCACGCATTACCATGGCACGTCTCCTGCCCGGTGCGGTGTGTGTGTCAGATCAAGCCGTGGTTCTCCCCTGACTCTGTCTACCATGAAGCTCCCACTGTGGACTGCAACGATCTGCTCTTGACCAAGCTCCCCTTACCCCTACCCCCGAACACACACACCCTGCGCCTGCAGAGTAACCTTCTGTCGGAGCTCGACACCGCGGTGCTGCATGGACTGACCAATCTCACCGACCTCGACCTTTCCCAGAACCGTTTCAGCCATGTCAGGACAATAAGTCAGAACACCTCCATGTCCTCTCTACTATCTCTACACGTGGAGGAAAACCATCTCAATCACCTCCCTGAGGCCTCCTTCTCCTCTCTGACAGCTTTGCAGGAACTGTTCCTCAGCCACAACAACTTACACGTGATAGCACCTGGAGCCTTCACTGGTCTCACCTCCCTACTGCGTCTACATCTCAACAACAACAGGCTCACCACTGTTGACCCTCGCTGGTTCAGGGCTTTGCCCAACTTAGAAGTTCTCATGCTTGGTGGAAACCCTGTGGAGGCACTTCCAGAAAGGGGCTTCCTGGCCCTGAAATCCCTCCGAAGTCTTGTCCTTGGTGGTATGGGTCTGAGAGGATTGGCTGAAAACGCACTGGAAGGGTTGGAGGGCCTAGAGAGCCTCTCATTCTATGACAACCTGCTGACAAAGGTCCCCACCCTCGCCCTAATAAAAGTGCCAGGACTGAAGTTCCTTGACCTCAACAAGAACCGCATTAAACTCGTTGAGACAGGAGACTTCCGAGACATGGTAGATCTGAAAGAGCTCGGCTTGAACAACATGGAGGAGCTGGTGTCCATTGAAAGAGCCGCCCTGGAGAATCTTCCAGAGCTCACCAAACTGGAGATCACCAACAACCCACGACTGTCCTTCATTCATCCGCAGGCGTTTCTCCGGCTGAGCAGGCTTGAAAGTCTAATGCTCAACTCCAACTCCCTGAGCGCACTTCACCAGCACATCATGCTCTCCCTGCCGAGTCTTCAGGAGGTCAGCTTACACTCCAACCCACTGCGATGCGACTGCCTGTTTCACTGGGCCGCTGAGGACGCCTCTCACACTCACATTGAAGACACACAGACAGAGAAACATACACCTCGGATGGTGCGTTTCATCCAACCGCTGGCCACGTTGTGCTCTGAGCCCCCAGAGCTGAGATCTCGCAGGGTGAGAGAGGTGTCCTCCAGGGAGATGTCGGCCTCGTGCCTCCCCATGATTCCTACCAACTCTCTCCCTTCCTACATTGGGGTAAGAGAAGGAGGAAAACTCGTGTTGCACTGCCGAGCTCTTGCAGATCCACAACCTGAACTGTACTGGGTGATGCCCTCTGGACTGAGACTTGGTCATGCACCGAGCCAGGCCTCCAAGGGTTTACCAATTCCTGCTCCCTGCCACAGCCTGACCGCCTCTGAGGGGTTCAACAACACATCCAGCTTTTCTCCTGGTCAGCCTCAGGATAATGCTGCCTGCAATCCCTCTCAACACTACCGGCTGCTGCCTGAGGGAACTCTGGAAATGAACAAGGTCACCCAAAGCGAGGCAGGCTTGTATACCTGTGTAGCTGAGAATGCACTGGGAGCAGATACACACACTGTTACTGTGGGTGTGCATGGAAGGGTAAAGAAAAGAAAGAGGGGGAATGCTGCTAACATGAAGGGATATCAGTTTAGAGTGGATGCCAGGTTGGAAGTGAGAGATGTCGGACAACACTATGCCATCCTGTCCTGGCAGAGTGGGCGAAACCTTCCTTCAACTCGTCTATCCTGGCAAGCCATATCCTCAAACGCACACACGCCTACATACACCACACGCATCCTGGCTGGTACACAGAGCTTCAACCTAACCCACCTTCAGGCGGAGACATTTTACAGAGTGTGTCTGCATTTAGGGATCAGTGAGGGTGCAAAGCGTGCCAGCAGGAGATCAAGAGAGAGCAGAAAGTCTCAGTGTGTTTCTTTCAGGACGAAGGATGTCCCAGAGCCTCAGCCCAGCCTGCAGCTAAGCCCAGAGCTGACCTCCACCGCAGTCACACTACTGCTCCTCGCACTCATACTGCTGCTGCTGGCAGGCCAGGGAGGGGACAATGAGCCTGGCGAGGGGGCAGGAAAGCACAACATCCTCAAGGAAGTCAAAAGTCCTAAAGTTCTGATCATCAATCATACAGACGGAAGCACTGCACATTAGCCGAATCAGAGTGAGGAACTGCTGTTGCATCATGACTGCTGAGATAGTTATATTTGTGCTTATCAAATACAGACAAAAACACTGATATACTCACACACACACACATAGATAATGTTAAATAGTACCTTGTAAATCGCAGCTTAAAGAGAAGAGTCATGAATTGATTAATTGATGTAGAAAGAGATTTGTATTTATTTTATATACCATATAAAATATATATTGACATTATTTCTGTGTAAAGTTGTATTGTAAATGCCTAAACCCTAACCAGGGAAATACAAGTGGACAATCAGACTGCTGCAGCACAGTGAGGGATCTGAGGAGGAACAAATGACGGATATTTGCAGAGGTGAGCAGTCCAAATCTCCAGAGCGTCCGTCTTGTTTCCTGTCTACATGTCCCCAGACTCAACCATTCTCTCTCCGAGCAGATGAAACTGTCTTGAGACATAAACTGAAAGAAATCCCTAATTGATATAAACATCCTTTTTTTCTTAGCTTTCACTACCTTGAACTGGGTTGTCATGTGGATTACATTATACAGTAAACTCATCCTTACTTCCTCCCGAACTCCCCGTATCTTCTTTCAACATTTAAGTGGTCTAAAAGTGATTGTGTTAAACTCTATTTTGAGCTATTATACAATAAAATCTTTTTAATTTACACAATTTGACTGTCTATTTAAGTTCTTCTTGTCTCAAACATGGTGTGAACATAGCATGACAGATGAGAGACCTTAAACTCTATACATACAATTAAAAGCATATTAGGGATTCACCTGCAGCATCTACTCCTTGCAGCTGGCATTACTCCACTGTAGGAGTATGATAATATCTCAGGATATCTGACACCTATACAGTAAACACAAGACACAGTGTGTCCCCTGCTGGACAAGATCTGAAACTGAGCAATTCTAACTAAAGAGATGCAGGAGTAAATCAACTCAAGTACAAATCTCACACAGTTAGAGGGTTTTTCTGTATGAAATTCTCATTTTGTGTACTCACAAACAATGCTTCTTTCCCGAGCTGTAGCACATGGAATATCGACCTAAAATAAAACATTGATTTCTCTAACTAAGACGTATATATAAATTCAGCTGGACTTGATTTACACAATTGTGTTGTATATTATATTGTGCTGTAGGTTTGATATCCTTTTAACCAACGATAAAAATGATGGCCTAATTAGAGCTTTTGTGGATCAAAGGTGTGAAATGGATGTAATTGTTGGTGAATTTGTTTTTAAGCTTCATAATCCCTATATAAAAACTAAAAACAAATTGTCAACAGCAGTTAGACTCTGTATTTATTCACACAAAACATAATACATTTTCTTTAATAAGGCAACACAATACATCAATGATTTATATGTATACCATATTTAGATTTTATGTTGTTATTTCTTATCTAACAACACGTCATTCTTTACTATCACTAGCAAGTGTAAATAAATAACTTAGCAAGTCATGTAAAAGAGTACCAGATGCGTAAACTTCAAGTCATACTGTTAGTACATCCAATGCAACAATCCTTGACTTACTTTCGGAATTTATTGATATATTTTAGCAGTAGTTAAATGACTTGCTGAATTATAAATAACCTTTTTTAGGCAGTAAAAAGGAGGCCCTGTGGAGTTTTCTAGTAAACAAACAAAACATATGTATAGCCAAGGTCATACAACAGTTCACAATACTTTTGCAAGGTCGATTTTATAAGTATTTTAACTCCAGTACTGTTTTAATAGCTTGCTCAACACTACGTCCTTTTCTGGCACATTGCTGTATTTCTTGGTGATTTACCAAGCCACCTGTTGAACAGTGAAATATCGTAAAACTATTAGCTGGAAAGTGTACTGCATGTGTTCCCTTGTTTGTGTGAACAAGAAAAAAAAAACAGGCAGTAACATCAAGAAAAATAGATCCCCAGAACAACTCATGGTCTGAAATCTCCACAGGGTACCTTTCTAACATTCAACATCAGTTAAAAATCAGACAGCAAAAACATTTTCCGAAAAAAAGCTGATTTCAAATATATTCCTTTTCACAAACATCAACAGTAACGGCAATTTTCATTATTTCCATAAGCATTATAAGATACATTAACACTGACATCATCATTAGGTGCTGGAGTGGGTGTCATTCCTAAGAGTATGAGGTGCTTGTAGTATGAAAACGTGGTTGTGACTTTAAAAATTGTGAAGATCAAAAGCTCTTTCCAGTGTGAGATGCCCTTCCACAGTAATGAGCGTGTTGAATGTACCGTACAGAGCGACACAAAGGGAAAATGCTGTTAGTTGGATACCCTTTCTCTTCACAGCTGTTAAGATTGTACAATCATTTACAAAAATATAAATCTATTCTGCATTAACAAGTGACAGTAGTGATTAGTACATTTGATAGTTGACAGTGACATGAATAAAATACACAAAACAATGACGCTCTGGTAAAACAACATCAAACAATAGCACTATAATGTATATCACTTTACTGTACAGAGCACAACTACGTTCTGGTCATATGTTACATGAGCTGAACTAGATGTTCCCGATTCTCACGCACATGACACTCAGCTGTTTCTGACCTGCTCTCATTCCTTTATGCAGTATGAATGAAACAAAACAATATCAAGCCTTAAACGGCTGATTAATAGAAGTTTAAAGGTCCCCTATTAGACTCTTTTTCAACAACACATTATAGGTCTCAGATATGAACAAAACATGCCTCTGAAGTGTTTGGCTGAAATACCAAACAGATCATGAGTTGTAGCATCCCATAAACCCCTTTGTCTCAGCCCTGTTTCAAAAGTGCTGATTCTGTATCTGTAGCTTTAAATGAACATTTCTAATGCTCCCCACGCCCCTGTGTGAGATATTTGGTTAAAAAGAACACATTGGTGCTCTAGGAGAAGATTCAGGTGATAAGGTGTGGGGGGGGGGGGGTATTACCCTGGTTGGTGTTTGGCTAATCGTTACACAACCCCAAAACTTGTTATGACATCATAAAGTGGCCAAAATCTGATCAGCTCATTTTCAGACAGGTTTTTATATAAATGGATCAGGACTAAGTTTTCCTCAAACTTTCCAAATCTCAACACAGAGCGGACACAAATGTATGTATAAAAGACATGAAAAAGTGGATTTCGCATAATAGGTGACCTTTAAGAGGGGCGTCAAACACATTTGAATTTAATTTGTTCTTCAAAAAAAACAACTGCTACATACAGAATATTCATATTTGTCAGTGATTTCATGTCAATTCGGCGAACATAAACATCAATGATGATGATTAAATTAGGATTAAAAATCGGGAGAGCCGGCTCGTTCGTTTTTTCCGACTAAACAACATCTATTATTTAGAAGTTGATTTCACATGACTCCAGTGTGGAACCCCACTGCACCCCCTGGTGGATCAATGATCCATTGCAGCTGGCTTCACAATAATTAAATGTATTTATCATGGGGGCGGTATCAAGTCTGACTGGGGGCCGGCCGGCCATCACGGAACGTGCATGAACCGATCACGACCCTCGCACTTTAAACTGTCCAAAATAAGACGCTTCATCTGTAATATCTGTTTAATATTGTATTTGTTAACAACTGTTACTCTTCATATAAGGCATTTACTGTTGTATTAACAGTTAATTATGTTTGATAACACAGCAGAACATTTCGTCATAATCATACATATTCATATTTTCAGTGGTTTTAATTACATCTAGAAATAGTTTTAATCTTGCTCTTAATGTAAAAAGTTAATATTAAGAGTTCCTAAATTATGTTAAACACACTGTAAGATAAAAAAAAATGTAAGCTAATACACAGTAAAAAATAATGTAACTATTTAGAAAGAAAAAAAATGTAAGCTAATACACAGTAAAAAATAATGTAACTATTTAGAAAGAAAAAAAATAATTATATATTATTTCAAGTGAACTGCTGTTATCAAACATTGATTAACTGTTTATACGCCATGTATGAATGCTTCTCAGCAAAAAATGTTTTCAACACACATTATAGTATAATTCATGTACTACCTTATAAATGCTAATGTTACAAAATATATATAACGACTTTGAGTGATAAGGCAATGCAGTGACTATGAATAAAAAAAGGTAATTCATGTTTTATAATGTGTTGGATGTGGGAGCTTTAGCCCAGCATCACACTCACGAAATATCTCTCAACATAAACAATTACCACTAAATCTCAAATACGTGTACACACAAATGTACACTCTTTACGGCAGAACAGCTTCTCAATGAGATACATTTACCCACTTCTTCTCACTGTTTTACAAACTATAAAAGGTTTGTAGTCTAAGGAGAGAAGTGATTTAAAGCAGCATGAATGTCAAGAAAATATATAAGCTGACAGCACCACTTTAGTGCATCTGAAGACATGTAGAGTAATAATTGATAAGTTGCTGGACAGGCCTTAATTCTGCAAAAACGACAAACACTTCATTGTTTACGAAAGATTCCTCTAAGAAAGAGAAAGAACACCTACATTTACTGGTCCTAGCTTCTCAAATGTTGGTAACTGCTGGTTTTTCTTTGACTTTATAATAGAAATTAAAATTGCTTTGGGTTTGCAAAACATTAGTCAGACTAAACAACTCATTTTAGATCTTTTACTCCTGGTGAATCATTTTAAATTATTCATGTCCCAGTATGAGAGACATGTTATAACACTGAGATTAGAGCTCATCTGCTTCTGCCTTACACAAGTTGACTATTTATGTTTCCTGCTCTCTTTATTACTGCATGTCCAAACCTTTCTATTGAAACACTGAACTGATCGTCAGATATTAAACATTTATGAGACCTCGAAGGGATGGTGGATGGTGTACTGATTAGGGAGTTATGTTCGATCCCCCCTGACATCAACGATCCCTCCTACTGAAGCGACCTTGATCACGACACCAGCTGAATATCACTTGTGCAAACTCTCGGCCCACTCACTCTACTTTGTGTCACATTTCACTGTAAGTCTGTCTGAAGGGACAGACTGAATCAAAGAGAACAAAGAATCCTAACTGGATAGGTAGCTAATTCATTTTCTGTTGCCATGGAGACAACACAGATTGAGTGACCAGTTAAGCCTCAATTTGAATAACATACTTGAACAAAGACTAAATAGGAGTTTTGTACAGCTTTCATTTATGTCCCCCATCAGGTAAAGTATTACTCGACTTTACAGACAAGTTTATAAGTTTAAATAGCAAGAAATGAGTAGACGTTGCCTGGAAACGGCACTGATAAAGGAGAAACACTCATTGAATCCTGACCGGCGGCTCTGTAGTGGACCATGACCTCTAAACTCCCTGTGAAGCTATAAACATCTCCTATTTGTCAAACCATACAGCATTACAAACACAGGTGGAGAAAAGTCTCCAGGGTTCTGAAAGTAAAAAAAAGTATTTTCCACGGCAGCTTAATTCATCAAAGAATACTCATCCTTGACAAACACACACATGCACTGCACACACACGCATCTCAGCTGTAGTTGTAGGTGAAGTTATACGAGCTAGGCTCCTTGGGCACGGGGGGCGGGGCTTCTGGGATTGTGATGTTCTCAAGGTCGAGGAGGCGGAGCTTCATCTCCATGCTGATGAGAGTATCCAGGTCACTGCGCGTCAGGTCGCTGCCCATCTCCCTGCCCAGCAGCGCACACAGGCCGTCGGTCCAGATGCAGTACTGCTCCGAAAACATCAAAATCGCACACACACACACACACACACACACACACACACACACACACACACACACACACACACACACACACACACACACACACACACACACACACACACACACACACACACACACACACACACACACACACACACACCACACACACACACACACACACACACACACACACACACACACACACACACACACACACACACACACACACACACCACACACACACACACACACACACACACACACACACACACACACACACACACACACACACACACACACACACACACACACACACACACACACACAGGATGAGAACAGAAACTTCAAGTTAGGGGTTAGTTAGTCTAACTGTGTCTTTCGGCTTTTGCTGTTGAGGCAGGTGGCAAACTGTTGAAAATAGCTTCTAGCTAGAGCTGTAACTTAAGTTGATGTAAGCCTGTCGGAGTGAAACAAAACAGTAAAGTTGTGTCTGACCAAAACAATGAGCTGAAGGACACTAAAATGGTGCTTAGAGCTGAGAAGAAGTATTTATAATTTAACCGTCACATCTGCTTAGCTTACCTCATACTTGTTGGGTGCCACAAAATTGAGTGTCTCATCAGGATCATAGAGGACAGAGAAGGCTAACTCCAGCACCTCCTGAGAGAAAGAAAAGGGACAAACAACACGCTCATTGACAGCAAAGAAAAGAGAAACAGCCATGTGAATAGAACAACAAAAGAAACTAATTAAAATCACATTACCTTGTTTTGTTTGAGAGCACTTTTTTCTTTCATATGAGGGCAGTCCTTCCCAGTCACCACAGACTTGATGTCAGAGACGGGGACTGAGATGAATATAAAAGAAAACAACTTAATAATAAGCAAAGTTAATAAGGTCAGCCAGTGTGCACTGCTGAATGTGGCATTGTGTGTGTAATGAAAAGTTTATGAGTTGGGAGGCGGAGCCACTTGAAGAAATACATCTTACTTTTGTCACTGAGTAGCTCAAAAGGCACTTCACCCTGAGGTGACTCATCGAGGTCTCCATAATGCAGCACTTTGTGATTGAGTGAGAGTCTGCAGAACCAAAACTTCTCTACAAAAGAGGCAGGGGACACAATGCTTAGCCGATAATCAACATACATCAGTGAACCTTCAGCTAAAGAAACAGCAAAGTGATTGTATTGATGCTGTAGGTACCTTGCCTTCGGCGGTTCCCCAGCTTCCGGAAACAGCTCCCCTCACACAGGCGGTTGAGTCGCTGCTGCTTGATGAGCTCTAAGATCTCGGGCTGTATTCTCTCCCGCAGCTCACTGGAGGACAAACACAGCATGAGCAATATGGAAAAACACACACAAATGCGTACAACCCTGTTATATTCACTGTATTTTATATTATCTACAAACTCACATGATGGGAGGAGACTGGAAGTCGTCCTGACTCATTCTCTCTGACTGCCGCAGACGCAGGATCTCTGAATAGTTGAGGCCTCGCAGCTTGTTCTTCAGCTGGTCTAAAGAGGACGGCTTCATCGCCAGAGCCCTGGTGATCTGCTCACGAACCACCTGCATCACCTGCTCACGGTTAAAACACACACACACACACACATATACGAATGCATTAGGAAAGGTGACAAAAAACATATCAGACTTCCTAAATATTGAGGCAATGTATGTTTCATCAAGTCTAATGTTATTAGATATATCTGCATTAGTTTTTAGAGAACAGTGAATATTGTATAAGCTTCCTCTAGAACTCACTCCCACAACTCATCAGAGACGGCACTGACCTCATCACCTTCAAAAAAACTTACAAAAACTCACCTCTTCAAACTGGCTTTTAATGTGTGATTGTTGTTTTGTTGCTCAATTTTAATGTGACTTTTACTATATTTATTTGTTGTCCTTTTTTTTACTACCTCTGTAAAACGACTTTGAGCACCTGTAAAAGCGCTTACAAAATACATGTATAATTATTATTATTATTTAGTTGCCCTTGAAATGAAACCTTGATTTGCATTCTGAAACAGATATTGCCGCCAGACATATTTCCCCATCAAAAGGCATAGATGTTAGATATATATTAGATAGTCCCAGGTGTTCTGAACCATTGAGTTGCATGCCCTTCAAATACATGTCTGATATCAGCTTGACAAAATACTTTGAATCCAAATAGACAGCCTTTGGAATATAATAGTCCAATATGTTATCTAAACAAAAGACCTCCAGCTCTCTGCCTCAGTGGGCTGCTCACCCACACACAGTGGAGGAATACAGCAGCTGCTAAAGCTTCAGATTTCAATTCTATCTCAATAAATGTTTTACTTCAATACATATTTAGCTTTTCAAAAACAAAATGTTCACTGCTGTCAATAAAAAATGTCTACCAATTGACACACAAAAGGCACCTCTATTAATTGGGCATTCTAACAACATCATAAAAAAACATTTATATAACCACAATAACAAGGTCATGACATCATAAAATATGACGATTGAGGCCTAAGATGGGAGGCAAGTACACAATCAAGTTGGGAGTGTAAATATTTAAATATATGCTTAAATCTCAGACCTTATTGAAGTCCTCAGCTGTGGCTCGCATCTCCTTCCAGGTTTTATTCAGCAGCTGGATGCAGACACAGAAGAACTCCTCCCATGCCCGGTCATGAGTGAAGAACATGGGGTGGTAGTCGTTACATCCCTCATTAGCTACACAAAAGAAAATATTAAATTAGAAGACAGGAAATGAGTACAACAGACTTTCTCTTCTTTCACACACAATGTCCTGGACTGGAGTAACAACTGCTGATACTTTTTAAGATTGTAGATTATTAAAAGTACAACAGCTCCAACTCTTTCAGAGAGAGATCTACTTACGCAACTCTCCAACCTGGAGAATCTCGCACAACATTCGAGTGAGTTCGATGGCACACCGGCCGAAGGGACATTCGTGTTTGTCTTCGCGGCTGCTGTTCTCCAGCACAATCTGTCATGGGTGAGAAGACATGTTGGGTTTGGCTGACTTCACCACCTTTGTGAGATGTGCAACGTCATATAAAGGCCAAAACTAACCCTGATGTACGTGTCCTGGTGAACCTTGGCGAGGTACAGCATGTTATCCAAAGCCAGCATTCCCGGAGGAGTCTGGGTGAAGTCCATGGCTGGATTCACATGGTTCTGCATTTGAAACAGAAATAACATGAGCCATGAGACAGCAACATCTAAATTATATTTATTATTATTATATATTTATAGAGCTGGTTTTACAGGTACTACAGAGGACACTGATATAGTGGAGACTCACAGTGAACCCCAGCATCTTATAGTCCTTGGTGTACATGGCCTTTCTCTTTTCTGTACCAGTGGGGTCATTTTCTCCATCGAAAGCAATCCTACGCAGCTCGAAAATGATGTCTCTCTGAGCCTGAACCCCAGCGAAGAAAACACGTTATCAGCATAAAAAAGGGACATTTTAAAGAAGATAGCAGCAAAAATAAAAGATGTCGCCATTTGATCGTTATTGAAACCATAGATCTTTCATTACATCTAAAAGGAATTTGTTTGAATTCCCTTATTATGTTTGTTAAACTAAGGCATTATAGGAATATATAAGCCATTGACATGTCAAACAGAACATTCATTTTTTACCTGGTCATTGGGATCCATTTTGGTCATCATCCGTTCTTCCAAGAGGTTGAAGGTCAATACCTGCAGCACATACAGCTGGTGTGCCATTTCTGCTTTGATTGGTCGATTTCCTCTGATCACATGCTGAGAAAAGAAAGATTGGCAATAAGGAAAGAGTAAAGCCTCTAATTTCTTTAGAGAGTAAAGCCTCTATTTTGGCTACAAGTTGTGTACAAACTGCTGAAACAACACAAAACACAAAACTACAGCCTAATATACTGTTTGCCTCCACTGGAGAGAAACCAAAGGTTGTTGCTTCCTCAAGATAGGAAGAAAGCTGATCATTCTAATGCTCTTTATAGACTTATTACGCTCTGTGAATAATGCATAATGACAAGGAAAATGATCTGGCTTTATAAAACACATAGCAAGACTCCAACGGGTCTTCCTCACTGATGTGTGCAACCACATGCAGGCACTTCCAGAAGAACGGGTGCCAAAATAAATCATTTTCATTTTCTGCCACTTCACAGATTTCATGCCATATAGCATTTGCTGGTTTTCTGTCACAGCTGTGTAAGTGACTAAAGTAACTTAAAGTGAGTTTCCACTTTCTGAACTGGGGGGTCCCTGGGATGAAACGTATAGCCCCACACTGACCACCAAATCCCAGCATTGGATAGTCAAACGAAGGTTGAAGAGATTTTTGTTGAAGTTTTTTTATAGCCACTAGTTTCAAACACAATTTCTGGGAACTGCTCGAATCCTGTGTTCACACCTGGATATTTCAAAGCCGTCGAAAAGCTTTATAGCCCGTAGAGCAGGGCATTAACTCTGATGTGCAGCTGTTATAGCCAGAAAGACTTTCAGAATTTCATTTCAGACTTCATACTCACATTGAGGATGATGGATCGCAGGTGTTTCTGAGCCAAAGTGCTTGCCATTTCCTAAAAGGTAAAGAGATGCATTATTTCGACACACAGGCCAGATGAGGGAAGTAGCTTCATTACACGGTAAAGCAGTGCACACAGCAGTAACTTCACTCAAATTGACCTACAGTGAATTGAAATGTCAAACTACTGAAATGCAGCATCACTCAAAGGCTACATTTCCATCCCTGGCTTCAACCATCTGCCCTTCACACATTCTGAACAACATTTTCAATCTGTCAACACAGTCTGCCTGCAGCTGCAGCAAGCTGTCCGTGACACGGAAAGAAATACAGAGCGGAGGAGGAGAAGGGCTGAGGTGTGGAGAGGAGGGTATGAGATGCTGAGGGATGTGTACTCACAGTGAGGGGCTGCTCCAGCGGGTTAGTATACTCCTCCTACAGGTTGAAGGGAGGGAGGAGGGACGTGGGTGTAACAGTGATGGAAACAAAGAGCGCACACACGGACAATGAGATACAGAGAAAAATCACCGGCACAGCATGCAACGAAATAAGAACATAAAACAGCATAATAGGAACGTCCGGTAGACACAACATGTAGCTGTTTAAAAAACTCCACATGGCCGGCATGCAGTATAAGACCACTACACGTTAATTGGTGAATAAGACTGTTTTATAAGACATTTCAAAAACCTAGGAGCTGTGAAATGATATCAACACAGAGAAGCAGTGGAGCTTTAAAACACTATTGTTGCATGAAATTCACTGTTGTGTCCTGATAGCTCCCTTAGTAGGGACGTCTTGCAACCTGAATCTGCTGAGGATTTGCACTAGTGTTAATGTTCAATTGTGCAAAAAAATGTTTGCTCAGCTCTGCTTCCTGAAATGCTGCATTTTCAACAAGTCTCTTTCATTTGAAAAACTATAAAATATGCAAAGATGTGATAAAAAAAACATCTATTTAATTTTTCAAAAGTAGCTCCACTCTATGTATCGATGTATTTATTTTTAATCTTGTTAGTTAGCAGTTCGACAGTATGCACTTTGTGTCCCTTTGCTGTATTTATCTCAAAAGAAGTGACTCAGTCGCCCTCCAGTGGTCAACAAAGGCAGCTGGAGGTGAATGCATGTTCAAGGACAACTGTCCGAACATACTGTGCGTCATATGGCAAATAAATTGAAAGGAAATTAGAGCACTCAATAACACTTAGGGAAATACTCCCCCTCCTCTCCTCACAATGTCATCCAACCCTTCGTCAACAAACACAAGCTTAACAGTCAGTCAATGGAGGTTTTTCTTAAGCACAAATCAGTGAAATCTTAACATTTTCTTAACTTGGCGAGTGATTACCACAAACATGTTTGATCAAAGTGTTTGGAATAAATGATCAACAAAAGGAAAGCCAACATGAGCAGCATTTACATAGCTATTTGTCAAACATTTGCATTGAAGGCATTTGTCATCTCTGTTGTATCTTTTCCTCCTTTTCCTGCACGTATTTAGCTCTATTTGTAATATACTAAAACGGTTGCATTTGGTTGGATACTGAATTCTGAAATGCAAAGGGCAAAGAGTTGAGTTTGTGATAGAAACACAGCTAAGAGAGATGATGCCAACGAAAATAGAACTTCTGTAATTGTGTTGTTGGAAAATCATTCTGGGAAACGGAAAATGAAATCATATGTTAGTAGATAGCTGCAAATGAATGGTTTTCAAATTATATTTGTATGACACTTAAAGTTACATTACTTTATATGGTTATATTTAAGTGAAAATTAATTGTGCTGAAGGATGTCAATTATTAATATACTACTGTTAAATTTGATGTAATCCTCTCCCATTTCATTGTTGATTTAGTATAGAACAGCTTAATAATAAAACAAGGCTTTGAAGTTTCTATTGTAAAAATGGTCTTAACAAATACAAATGAAACATGGAGAACTGAAATGTAAAGAAAGACGTGCAGCACTAATGACAATGCATGAGACAGGATGAGACACAGCTGTATGCTAGCTAGTGTGTGAGCTGGGACAGAGGTTATCACAGAGCGGAGACAAAGGACACATGACGACAGTTATGAGTAGCATACTGGACACACATCCAAAGCAGCACTCGCTCCTTTCATCTTTGTACATTTTGCTCGCTACAAAGATCTTTCAGAATTAGAAAGCATCTGTTTGAGATGTTTCTGTCATTTAAAAAAAAAAAAAAAAACAGAACTTAATCTTATATCTTGGTATATTTTGGTTATATGGATAATTCTTCATGTTACATTTGTTAAATCTGGCTAACTATGCCAGGTTTAATTAATCATCCCAGTGGATTTTCTTAACTCTAGTGTAAATCTTTGAGTTTAATATTTTTAAAAAAGCCCATTTCACTGAATTTAGCAAATGAATACTTAATCACTGCATTCTGCTCGGATCCTATCCAACTCTTTGTCTATTTGGCACAGTCATCCTTCAGTTGGTCTCCTGAGCTGAGCTATCCTGAAATAACTGCAGCATAACAAAAGTGCAAACTTCAAAGGAGAACGAGTCCTATTTTGAGTGAGTGTGTCATTACAGCAGTGACTGTCGGATATAATCATGACAGCTGGCAGACAGACGTCTAATTCGTGAGATTAGCTTTAGTAACCAACCTGCTGCTGCATATATCAGCACTAAGGGTGAGGCAATATCTGCAGCTTCCTAACATGCGGGTATTATGAATAAATGTCAGTCCATTATGTACGGGTGTCTTTATTTAGAGCGTAATGTGAGCACAGAACATCATTAGTATTCTAGCTATGTCTATCTATTATGCGTATTCCGTCTTTTCTCTAATAAAGTACACTGTGTACTGACCTGCCGTCTGTCCTCTGGTGCCTTCAGGAAGAGAGCGTTGATGAGCGCGATGGCGTAGGTTTGGATCTCCTGGTTTGACCTGAAGGAATATCAAGCATCGTAACAACCAGTTAGAAGCATCGGGCTCCACAGGAGTCAACAGTTTAAACTAACAACTATTCTGCATAACAATTCATTTTACTTTTATCACTACCATTACTCGGGATGGGTGCAGGATATTTAGAAGCCACTCTTTCACACCAACAGGTTAGAATAATTGTTTGTTAGTCTAAGGCCCCGCTCACACGGGACCGTTTGCGTTTATGCACAGTATGCGTATTCAAAAAAGTGTTCCGTTCACATGCATTTGTTTCATTTAACGTGTCTGTTCAAACGAGACCGCTGGAAACGCTGTAGTACATATGCCGGGACTGTAAGTGGCGCTGTAACTTCCGCCACAAAATACACCAAAAGCAGTGAAGAAGACTCCGCAGCAGCCCCGCAGCAATGTTGCCATGGCTACCCTTCTGTTTACGCCCCGCCGTGGATTTAGCAACATGTAGTTCATGTAATTCTCCATGTCCACTTGTTGCTGATGGTTGTGGTAGAGGAGCTGTATATTTTTGCACTAATATCTGTAGCATGGTCAGTAGCAGTAGCACTAGCAGTAGCTACTGACAGGAGGAGGAGCACGTCTCCGTGGAGAGGACTCGCTCAGAGAGATATTCTCTACAAACACCGGGTGAGATCCTCCTTTGTCAATATAATGGATCAATGCATGAAATCTGACTCTGTTTATTTTGTTTAAGGAGTATATTGGGCGTTAACAATTCTGGTTTGCCTTTTATAATATTATTTCATTCAAGAACCCCTTGTGCGTTTAATTAACACAGCCATGCTACAGCAGTGAGCAGGAGAGGTGGGGAAAGGCGGGGCTATCGTTATTTTTTCAGGAAATATTCGTATAGAGGTGATTACACGGACTCGGTTGACCCCCCAGAGCGTTTCGTTTGCAAATCTATCCACCTTGGGACCCGTTATCGTTTGTGGGGTCAGTTTCTATCGGCCTCGTGTAAATAATAGGGCTATACGCACGCGAAACTATGCAGATACAAGCAGTTTTCTCCTCGTGTAAACGGCGCCTAAATAGAGACACAGGGCCACACTGTTGCAGGGTTATAATTACATGTGATAAAGATGGGTATTTTATGTTATTTTTAGCATTCCTACATACATCCTCCTGCGGCTGTACATAATAACTAGAGCACGAAATGTGTATTAATCCGCTGCAAAAAGTAGCGCCTAACAAGTGCACTACTTTCTTCTGAATAAGTAAAGTATCGTACATAAAAAAGGGCTTGTTTTTTTAATGTTTACATCTTCAATAGGAACCAACGGGAGACAGACTAACACATTGTTAGTTTGTGTTTTATTCATAATATTTGTTGACGATAAGAAAAATATAGAATAACTGCAACCATGGTGTTTGATAGGGGTCATCTAAGCATCCTGAACTCACCCTTTAAAAAGTGGCACGAGCCAAATATCACAGCAACATTCTAAGACTTTACTATCTATGTTAACCCCAACTAATACATCACACAACAACCCCCCATATCAGAGTGCGGGACGCCCCTGTGCGTGTGTGTGTGCTCACACTTGCAGGTGCCCGATGAGCTGTCCCACGGTGATCTCCTGTGCCACCCGATGGTAGAGGCTGTGGCTGTTGAGGACCATGCTCTCCAAGATGGCCAGAGAGCGCTGCAGGATGGACACGTCCACCATTGGCTGGTTCACGTAGCCTGCAATCTGAAAAGGAATGGAGAAGAAACAACACTGACTTCTGAGGCAATTCAACAAGAGCTTATGAAAACGTATATTTATCTGTGAGAAAAAATTAAATCAAGAGTTTAGAAAGTTTCCCTGAGTGACTGTCAAGGCCACAAAGTTTTCAGAGGAAGTCTAGTCACACACTGCACACACTGATGAAGCTCGGAAAAATGTGGAGTTGCTAAGCAACAGCACCCACTCATTTCCGGCATGTATGGAGAAAGGTTGGTAAGGTATATAAATAAAAGTGTATGAATAAAAAAGTGTGGATGTATGCAGTGGGCTCTCTGTGAAACCAATATTTTGGATACAGGAGGAGGAGGAGGAGGAGGAGGAGGAGGAGGAGGAGGAGGAAGAGGAGGAAGAGGAGGAGGAGGAGGAGGAGGAGGAGGAGGAGGAGGTACCTGTTTGATGAAGGAGAGGGAGATAAGGTCCCAGGACACAATGCCGTGGTCCATGAGCTCCAGGAAGGCAGTGAGAGTGAAGGCCAGCATCTCACCAAAGCTGCAGGAAGCAGAGAACAGTTAGTGGATGCTTTATCACATCACATGACCAGGTCTCAGTGGATGTGTGAGACTTTCTCACCATCATCATCTTGATGCAGTAGGTTTTATAAACTAATTTAAAACAAATGTTTTACCAGATATTTTCTTTAAATGATAATAAGACATACACCTATTAAAAGGTGGAGTCTGGGATTATAATCCATTACCCTTTTTTTTCAAACTCATTGATTACCTTTTTTACAGTCCACACTGTAAGCTCCGGATATATATGATTAAATATATCCATATATGATTAATCAATATATGGACTGAAGCAGAACATTTTGTAAGACAAAAACATGCTATGATATATTTAAAATATCATATTTCTTCATTACATTTTGACTAAGAACAAAGACAACTACAGACTGAACTGTTTGAGCATTTTGTTTTTTTGAACAATAAATATAAAGAAAATGCTTTTATTATGCATTATAGAGACATGGGGAGAGAAAAACCATGCAACCACTTTTCATTATTGTAAAAGAAAAATATTGATCTCACTGGGTGCCACTCTCAACAAGACGTGCCAGAGTCCCTATGCCCTCCATGTTGATGAACTCTGCTGCAAAGGTTGGGTCTGCGGACAGCTTGGCGAGCTCCTTCAGAGCCTCCAGCCGAGCGTCAATACCGTGAGACTGGATCCTCTCCAGGAGCTGGCGGGCGGCACGAGCCTGTCCAACACAGAAAACATCCATTTTATAAGTTTACCTCACCCTCACATTCATTCATTCTGAATTATGATCTTAAGGATTTGCATCAGTGCATTCTAAAGTAGCTATAATACATGTTAAAATATTAGTTAGTAATTTTTTAGAGACCGACTATTTCTTTGTAATCCAACACTGCGTGCCAGAGGTAACTTCTCTCAGCCTTTTTGCACTTCAAGAAACAGTTTGGTTAAATTAATTAAATGTGACTACTCATATCAACATGGTTGATGAAGGCTGTGTGATATACATGTAACCTGATATTGTTTAAGGGTTCATTGATGGGAATCTAGGCACAGAGCATTGATAAATACATATTTTCTCAGATTATGAAAGGGCAATGTTGGGCTAAAAAGTCAGGCAACAAAACTTGTAATGAATCTGAATTATTCCTTAAAAAAACAGCTTAGTGCAAAGTGCATCGGCAGCACTTAGTTGTGTGTTTTGGCGGTGGAGGCGTGAGCTGCTCCCACAGTGCATTTGGGAGAAAGGGTGGGATTAGGCGGAATATATTATCATACATTATTATTGTGAGGGCTTGGAGGCTGGTGTCAACCATGGCAAATCACATCAACCTCTTTCTTTCTCTAAAAAGCAGTGCTCTCCCACATCATGTGCTGACAGCAGGTTATGAAGCACCGACACTTGCAAAGCACAACAAGTTTGCCTGCACACAAGAAGAGTTTGCTGATGCTCTTTTCAAGTCTTTACAAAAGAAGAATGAGATACTTGATGGGGGGAAAAATACACTCTCATTGTAAAAATAGCTCACGAGCTTATGTGAAGTAAATTACAATTTCAAAACTAGTACAGACACAACTGAGCGGGAATAAAATAAAGCAGACTCACAGGTGAGATAGCTAATCGAAGGATCGTCCCATTCTTGATTTCACTACGGCTCTGAAAGATAATCAAGGAACAATATTTCCAAACGTTCAACACTGATTTGAAATGCCATTAACACAAACCTTGGAGGAAAACGTTAAAGCTCACCTGCTCCGTGATATAAAGCTGAGGGCCATCAGCATAACGCAGAGCAAACTGCTCTGAGCCGGATAAAGACCAGCTGAGGACGAGGACAGAAAGAAAACGTTAAGAAGGAAAATGAATATGGAAACTAAAAGAAGCAGTAGGATATCAAATAAACGTGAATGCACAAACAAAATTCAGATCCTGCATTTGTATTTACACAAGTGGCAAAACTAAAAGACTGTGGAGGAGAATTATTCAGTGGGTGTAACAGTAACAGTTATGTGCAAAGAATGTCCAGTTTGAAATGAAAAAAGGAGGCAGTGGGTAGATACAGCAAAAAAGGTGGATGGGTAAGTTTAAAAACTAAAGTACCCGACAAAAGAGCAGATCAAATATCTAAAGACAACAGTGAAGCACAAAACCACATGTTGAGACACACACAGACATTATGATACATATAACATAAATTAATAATGGGTATTTAAGTAAGGTATAAACGGTCAGATCGTATGTCTGTGTGTGACCCACTGAAGTATTACACAACTTTACATGTGCCTGATTTTGTAATTTAGTTATCAAACAGAGAGTCAGAGACAATACAAAATATCAGGAAAATATGGAAATGTGTGGGAGTTCGGCTTACCCATCACAAACTTCCCGTATTATTGAGGACAAAGCTCTTTTCTGCAAACAGGAAGAAAACTCAGCATTACTCATGCCTTTCACATTCAAAACAAATCAAGAACAATATCCGTCAATAATTATTGTTCTGAAGGTTTAATTGAGTCATTAGAGGCAGATTGGAGATTTGTCATGATGTCACGTTTTTAGCAGATACACACCTGGTCCATCTCTATTAGCTGAGCATTCGCACCAGGCCATTCAATAGCCACCTTCACGATGTCGACTGGGGGCGGCATGATGTATTTTTGCAGTACTCTACATGGGAAAAAAATCATTAGTTTTATCCCTAACACAACTTTTCCTGTTGGACAGTATTCAACACCAGTTGGGAAAAATTGTTATGACCTGTGTACTTCACTTGAACACAGAAATACATTTTAAATACAAATACATTTAATTCCAGTTCAAATGGAATATACGTTTTATTTTTATTTTTTAGAAATCATTTATGACTTTATTCACACTATGTCAATATGTTTGGACCCCAGCCAAATAAAAATCTAAAAATACAATTTGGATTTCAGTCTGATGATTGATTAACTTCAAATGACATGAAATGAAGGTTATACATCACCTAATGGAGAAGCGTTGAGGGGGTCAACCACTCTCACAACTTTGCTGTATAAACCGCTGAGTCAGCTCCTCTGTGAACACAGAAACCCACACAGCAGTCGTGTCAGTGAAAAACTTTTTCTTAAAACCCAAATGCTCAGTTTGCTCCATCCATGCATTTCTCTCTGAACTGAATCTGTCAGTAAACGGATCAATAAGCATAACTGTTTTACTGAACCATCCACACACACACACACACACTGAATGTGTCTAGTTTTCTGCCTACTGGACTCTGGGCCGTGCTTCCTGCCTTTGACAAGTTGTTGTTATTATTTCCAATGAACTTTACAAATCAAACAAAGATGCTGAATAGAAGTTTACCCCAGTTGTGTAAAATATTTCTTCACCAACTTATTCTTCAAACATTTTCCTTTTTAGTGTCAAATGTCAGTTGTGTTCCAATTGCGAAGTTTAAAGGAATCAAAATGGGTTTCTGTAGTGGGGAAACAAAAAAAGACAAACCTAATATGCAACACAGCTTTTGAATGGACCTATAGTCTACCCTCTATAGCCTCTCTGCCCAATGTTAGCTTATCGCAGATACATATTTGTTGGCTGCTAAGTAAAGAAACTGCAGAAATGAAGGCCAATGATATGTCTGAGGTTATTTATAAATATTTCGCTCAGTTCAAATCAAAACAGTATTTTTTAAGGTATATTGTTATCAGGCTTTTAAACTCCTATATATTTAATCCTGTATATTGAAACAGGCACAGCTTTAAGCCCGAGTAGAAATCCAAGTACCGTTCAAGCTCTAGATGTTTGTCAAAGATAATATCACTATTTGTTATCACCGGCCTTGAAGAAACAGGTTCCACAGATTTATTACAGTGTCTTCACATTTGCATTTGAGCAATGAATAAATAAACTCACAAATAAATCATAGGAACAGCATGCTCTAAAAGCTGTGCAGAGATAGCTTCAGCTTAAAACAAAATGGAATACATTTACTGTTTTGCTTAACATCTGCTCTCAAATTACACTTTATTGCAAACTCTTATGTGGATTACATATTTGTACAAATGCAGTTCTTAAAACAGTTTGATTAGAATCATTGCAAAAGCACACATATTTACCAAAAAACAGTCCCTGTGTATTTATCCACATTACGTCACGTTTAATTTTACTGGTGCACTGACGCTTGTTCAACTTGTTTCTTTATTTGCTCTTTAATTCAAGGGTGGTGGTACGAGGTAAAGGAAACCCACAGCATCTGGTCTTTGGCAACAGAAAGAGACATGAAGAGTCAACAACATTTTACCATGTTAGTACATTTCTAGCACTGCAGCACAGTGTTTCTCAGTCTGTCTGACTCTATAAATATGTTTAGTTTACTTCAACAATGGCTCTGACGTCTGACTGGTGTTATTTGATCATTTGTAAAAAAAATGTCATATTTTGCTCTCATACACAAGTTTTGTCTTTTGGGAAAACACACTCAGTTGTCTCTGAATCATTGCACTGCAGCTGTCTTTTCTCATGATGAAGAAATCTCAAAGTTAGAAAAAAAAATTCAGCTGTAAGATTAATTATAAGCATGCCCGAATCCTTTCATTTAAAAAACGTTACACCACATGATCATTGGATATTCTACACATCATTTGTCACAAACTAATAGAAGAGTATCGGGTGATGTGATAAACATCAACAACAACAAATGAAGTTGGATACTGCATAATACAATAATACAGAGGGAAAACTGCAAATTAATTTCAGATTCCAGCCAGCCATCTGATGAGAGACTGCACTGCCTCCGCATCTTCAAGCAAACTGCCCAACACATCACATAAATGTGTGATCTCATAACTTTCTGAAAAGTTATTGTAATAAAAACATGTTTTCCACAAGCTCTGGAGCATGTTTTTTTTACGAGTAATGATACATTTTGCCAAAAACATTACAAGAAGGGATTAACCATGTGTTTCCTCTATTAGTGAGTTGTGGAATAATTGACAATGCAGCTTCAATTTGATTGTTTAGGTTGCCAACATTAACATGCAGTGAAATGTAATGAACATCATAGACAATTCAAGATGTCATATGTTGTGGTTTTTTTTTTCGTATTAACTTGCTTAAATTAAATGTTACCATGAAATAATATTTCCACACCTTAGTTTGCGTTCCCATGAAGCTTTGGGTGCTCAACAAGGTTGAAATAAAAACTTGTTTAAATGCTCTCTAAAACCATTTGAGTCAACTATGAAAAGCCATTTATCACAGACCTTGCAACTCATTCCGATACAATTGTAACTATTGGGGAATTGAGTATTGACCTAAATAAGGCTGCTGATAGCTAAGTTAAATATTAGTGTTACTTCTTTAGGTTTTTTTTAGTTCACACAGCTTGCACATGAAAGCTCTCACTCCAGTAGCAACACCTTTGACTTGATTTGTTCCACAGGATTGAGGCTCCTGCTCTGACTGCCTCCTGTCACATCTGTGCTGTCAGATGACATTATCACATGTTGAGCAACACTGGTCTCTGAAATGTTGGTGCGGATGTGTTCACCACTTGCTACATTGGTTTGTGAACTTTAACTGTATATGGTGAGTAAATTGCCTGTAGTCCTGACTCCTTTCGCTGTAGTGACAGGGCCGGTCAAAAGTTGTTTGACTTACACACAACTCTTTCCTATCTCCTGCGTTCAGTTTGCAGTTTTATTTTACTAAAACAAAGACTGTAAAGTATGTCTATACTTTGCTTTTTAAAAAGAATGTGTCCAGCCTTAAGCGTGTCTGCAGGAAATTGAGCAACAAATAGTCTACAGTTTATCAAAACAGTTCGTTTTCTACATATCATGGAACAAGTATGTATCAAAATAGCACTCTTTCCACTGCTTTATCAGTAACAATAAACACTAGATTTATTTGTGCACTGTAACCAAACTCACCCAAAAAAGGTTGTCTGTTAGTAGCTGCTCACCATTTAAGGTTTGTGATTTTTCTTCTTCAGAAGTATAGGCATATTAGATACAATCCACATTTAAAGTTACAATATATGGATATTGAACCTGAGATTCTGAAATGTAATTTTTGTGTTTGAACCCAATCAAAAATGTCTGTTCTTACACATTTTGAGACTATCTCGGCTGTCCTGGGACTGCTCACTCTCTCTCCCCCCATTCCAGATGTTTTGGATCTGGATATTTCCAAGTCTCCATGGTGGAGAGGAGGTTGTGATCCCAAGTTGCTTAACATCCGCCCTGATTCAAATTCTCAATTTTTATGCTTACAATCTTTCCATACTGTAATTTTTACTTGATTGGCCTTTTCTGTGACACATCTATTGCACACCTATCCTGGGAGAAAGATCTCTCGCTAATTGTTCCTCCTAGGGTTTCTTCTATTTCTTTTTTGGAAAGGTCTAACTAAAAAATCAAGGGTCTAATTCAGGACAGAGGGTGTTGTAGCCCGTACAGATTGTAAAGCCCCTTGAGGCAAATGTGTAATAGAGGGGTATACAAATAAAAAGTAGGCCTACTTGTCCGAGTGGAAGTGAGCCAGCTTGCAAAAAGCACTTGAACTGACACACCTGTTGTTGTTATTATTATTATTATTATTATACAGGTCTGCTTTTCCTGGGACTTTTTTTTGGTCAGGGTCGGATTAAAAGATTTAGGGACCAAAGGAAAGGCGACATTCCTCGTTTCTCAAATTGGGAATGTTGGGCTTGGCATTGTTAGAGGAAAAGCTCAAAACCTTTATGTCTGAAATAAATCTGATAACTATGATAAGCAACACTTTTAAATCCACACAACACAAGTCCTGCATTTGTGTTCAAGGTTGAGCTTTCAACTCTAATATAATGCGTAATGGATGAATGTATTACGAAGATCCCATTAAATTGTTATACTTTAGGAGTAGCCTACAATCTTAAACTTCATCATAGCCAGTTACATTTCTGACAGGTAAAAGTTGTAATGCAATGCTGTCATTTGAAGTAAAAGTAGAACAGTAGGCCTACGTTGAGTTGCATATTTTGTAAGTGCTTGGTTACTTTACATATCATACCTTTCAGTTGGGGGGCACCAGGCAGTTGACTGATGGTAAAGTCTGCCCCTGTTTTGGTGGCTCAGTGCAGCTGCTTGCTGATGGCAACTGTAATTCTAAATGATGGGAACTGTTTTCTATCCGTGACACTGTTGTTTCCTTGTAATGTGACTGGTAATAACTGGTATATGACTGGGTACTGGTGTTCTTTACTGGGAGGCTTTAACGGAGATCACTTCAGCAAGTGATCTGGCTGCATGTGTGCTGCGGCGGTAGCATAGCAACAGCGAAGGGTCTGAAAAGAGACCCCACAGTGTGTCTGAGAAAAGACAACTTTTTCTGTCCCCCACCAGCCACTTTCACCGCGACCCGGATGTTTCTGGCGCCATTTTACTATTCTTATAATGTGGTTAGGGGCTTCTGTCTGCGCTGCTTCAAATAAAAGATGAACACATGCAGGCTGTGAAGCTCCCAACTTTTACGATAGCTAGTTAGCTAGCGTCAGTAGAATATGCAAAGTGGCGCCCCCTTTGGTTAAACGATGCTTATTATATGAGGAGTTTTCCGTTAGTGGAGAAAAACTGCAGTTTTCCTATATTCCCCTTTCTATAGACAACCATGATTGCATCTAGACAAATGTACAGTCCATTTGCATGCAACGCGACAACAGTCACCCACTCGTATGTAAGGAGATGGACCTTCTTTTGGCTATCTTCTCCCAGGTGTTTGCAGTCACCGTTAATACAGTCAATAAATGCTTCATGCATCATAAACTCATAATAAAAAGGTTTAAGGCCTGATTAGATGTGATCGATCAGCCTAGGCTGGAACTATGGTAACCACAGGGAGCTGATGCAGAAACGGCAGCAACATTGTGATGTTTATCGAAATCAATCACTGCCCGTCATAGTGTCGGTGTATCAAACAGGGACTAACACAAGACAGCACTGCCTCATGATAATATCTGTGTGAAAGTAACATTAAACAACGATACTCACTCGCTTTAACGGTCAGTAGCAGCGTTATTCCTCAGAAGGCGACCAGTGTTATTCAGTCATCCAGCCAGTCTCTGCCTGCTCCTCCATTGCAGTCATGATGCAGCCTGTCTCCCGGCGGCTGTCCTGAAGCTCTCAGGATATACTTTGAAACGGCTTTATGATTTTAACTCAAGCCTGGTTGCTATTGTCGATGCTCAGTGTCATCAGGCCACCGATGATGCTCACTATCTCCATCTCTTTCCCTCTCTCTACAGAGAAACACTTTTGGAAACGAGACACTATTCCACGCCTTGTAGGCGGGACACAATGTAAATGTCACCGTCTGCTAATGAGGCAGCCCTTCTTCATCTGATCAATAATGCACACTCAAACTGACATTTCCCCCCGAACCAGACCGGTATACAGCGATGATAATACATCACATCAGCCCGTAGGCTATATTTGACTTATTACTCTTTGACAGGGTTATGTGTGCAAGTCTCAATTAGACATCTCACTACACAAAGAACATGGCTATTAATGTATGATATACGTTTGCCTTTTTCTCTTATGCAATCACATTTGTATAATTGGTTGTAGGCCTACCATCCAAACACAAACCAAGACAACCTATAGCTGAGAGAATCAATACAAAAAGATGTGTAAAGTATGAGGTCCATTTTCTTTTAGATTATGGCCTGGTTAGTTTTGCTTAAATAATAGTTACACAAATGAAAACCTCTGTGTATTACAGGAGCATAACACAAAAACCTCCTAGAGATGCATATTGAATTTCAGAGCCTTTGCGAGAAATGCCGGTTAATTTCTCTTTCCCTTGCCTGAAGATCTTACAGATCAAAATATTGACATGACAAAGAGAAAGAAATCTGCTCAAATATTCTGAATTAAGATACAACTCCAAGGGAAGCTTTATTTCATGCAAGTAAAACTGTCCTTTGTCATTAATTCTGAAAAACAAGGGCAGATTTGTGTTACTCATGAAAACGTACTTACTTTATGTTTAACCCACATGACCATGTTGTGTATCAAGACCAGCAAAAGATTAGAATCTGCACCACACATACGGATGATGGCATTCACGGCACAATACATCTTTATTGAACACAGAAACCATGTGTACAGGAATAATATCCACAGCCTCAACTGAATAGGTAACAGTGGCTCACTTCATGGGATGGCTGCTGGTGAAACTCGAAGGGGCCAGCAGACGACTGCACTTAAATTCACTGAGGAAACCACTTTTGAAAATCAAACAACAGCTGAATGTATTTAGCTCCACGTTACAACTCATGCATGACATCAAAAATAGTATTTATGACATAATAGTTTCATCAACAAACATGGACATACCCAATCAAAAATGTTCGACAGGCACAGAAGCTGAGTCAAACTGCTGCTCTGGAAAGTTAAGTTTAGAATGAGCTTCAGATTACGTGAGGTTTATAAAAAAATAAAAATGAACATCACCTTGTATCAACATCAACACCATCTGGATGCATTACAGTCAATAACACATTCTGCAGTTTATCTGTAGATCAAGTGTACCAATATCCCCAACAATCACCAATAAAATAATGATGGTACTTCAGAACTATAAGCTCCGTTACAGATTTCAGACAAGTGGCTGTTCAAATATTTCCCTTTTTGAAAACTTGAGATATCACAGCACAAGGTCTTTCATCCATGTCCTGGCAGTTTATGTTTTGTCATGCCATTGTATTATTAAAATGAAAAACAAGAAAATAACTGAAATAAAGCTCAATGGTTTAGGAAAGGCTGAGGGTAATAATACATATTTGATGGTCATTTTCTGACACGTACACCTCACTACATCAGACACACAAGCAAACTGGCATCAGTATCAACATGAAGCAATCACAGCTGTTCAAGGTTTTTAAACACACGACCATACATGAAGGTTCAGCGGCACAAATGTTGCTGAAGTGATCTTTTTTTTTTGTTTAACATCACAACATGTCACTGAGAACACACCAACATGTAGACCGATCTGTGAAGCTTTGCCTCAACACACACGACAAAATGAACCACAGCAAAGCCTGCTGTGATAAGATGTACATCAACACAATGCAAATAAGTTTAGAAACAAAGCATGTTCACTTTTCTAAACTCGGCTGTAAACTGAAGACGTCTTAGAGGTAGGAAATGGGCATGGAAAACGTTCCAGGAATAATCATTCACCCGTTAAAACCGGTGTTAATTATATATTATTTCTACGAATCATGAGGCCCAATAGGTTTCTCCTATAGAGTTACAGCAATATCTTATAACGCCCTAATAATAAAACAATCCAGCAGCTTTATTGCAGTTCATAATTAATTACTGTCCGTTGATTACATACAGTGATATAATCTGTAGTTGTAAAATGTCTATCAAATTGACATAGACCAGATCTGCAGATGGCATTGGTAGAAGTGTATTTAAATGAGAATAGATGACACTATTTAGTGGTTTGCATCATTATAAAGACTAGGCATGTGTAGGTTATTACACATACAGGCAAATTAGACTATGTAATAAAGTTGCAACACCTTATGTTATACGGGATTAAAGGCCACATAGGGAAGTGGGTTCTGCAAAACTGTCCAAGTTCTAAACCTCGACAGCTCGTTTGACACCAGAGGCTTGTTAAATACCAAGTTTCACACCAATTACATTCCCACTTGTTAAAAAACATTTGCATCTACCATGAACAATGTGTGTGTGCAGCTGCCATTTCAGGGACTAAATTAATTCATCAGAAGAAGAGCTATGACATCCAGCGTGTAATGAGCTTCATTAACATTACTCCAGAAATAGATGTTAGTACAAGTGTGAAGACAACAAATCCTCACGATACACAATAACCAAGGTGCTGCAGTACAACAGATGCAGATAACTGATCACACAGAGTTGCTTCATATGAGATGACATTTACAAAGAGCAGTCGGTTCAGCTGAGGTCACAAGTCACAGGCTCACAGGCAACACCATGCAGGTAACGTTAACACAGTCTCCGTCTGAGTCCTGTTATTTAAACACAACCTACACACTCCCATACGGTAAATACAGAATATTAAGCTGCAATGAGAGACTTTTGCATGTTATTATCTACAATAAACTGTATATATACTCTTTAAACCCAAATTGTTTTGAAAAAATTTTTCGCATCTTGAAAACAACATTTGGAAAAATGATTGATTAAAATGTCCAACAAATGGGTTTCATTATGAGACATTATTCACTGTGCATCAGCTGGATTTTTAATAGGTCTGTCCCGACTGTGTGAACTTTAATTTGAACGTTTTTATTTAAATAGTATCAGCCAGCTTCATGGTCAGAAAAATAACATAACTTGCTCAATGTTGTGGTATAAAGTACAGTATTACTTAATAAATACATATCTCTGGAGGAGTTGCATAACAAAAAAACAACCTACAATGATGTTGCGGATGTGCTTAAAATAGTATTTTGCAATGAATGTGTAACTGGGAGTCACAGACAGGTCTGGAGCTGTTGTTAATAACAGACAGCAAGAAAGTAAAGTCACAATTTGTATCGGCTTACCAACATGTGTTAAAGCAAGTTATTTATGTTATACTTCAAACATCCATTTTGAGCAAGAACAGTTTTAAGTCAGACACCAATGTGACACAATGAATGTTTTAACCAAAAGAAACTTAACCATCTTACAATTGGAAAGGGGCAATTATTTATAAACTCTATTTGTGTAGGACCCAACAAATTCAACTTTTGGGCATCCTGTCTATATTCTGGTCTCAATAACATGATAACGTATCAGCAGCCCTCTGCTTTCAAACCCATTGACTATTTGCACATTTTAACCCCAGAAGTGTTTATAATAAAATACTATAAAAAAAGGTAATTAAGCTCCAGGTCATTACAAATTAGATTATAACATTTTCATTTTACATATCCACTCCGATTGGATTAGAGATCAAATTAGTTACAGTGGTTATTTGTTCCTTTTATTTAATATAACACTGTTAATTCAATAATGCACAAAAAATGTGCAAAAGGTCCAGGGGTAGAAGACATCACATTTGATTGAACAAACATAAAATCATGCCATGAGTGTTTAGTCAATCATACTGTATTTACAAGGATTTACATTTACAAGGATTTTCTCTGCCATGCATTGTTTCTTTATCTGGTGAATTCTGAACCAGTTTCATTAAACCCATACACTATGAACACTGGACTATTCCCCAGGGGGATAGTAAGTCATATTTTTAGGGAGCCCAGGCAGAAAATGATCATATCTAGACGTGATTTATTTGTAATTCCTTTTGAGGACGGTACTTTACAATACAATACATGACTATAGATCTGTAAAGTTGTATTTGTTTAAGAATCTTACTCTCATGATGAGCTCAACGTAGCCCCGGGCCTCATTAATTGCTTCCTGGGTTTATAATAAATATATTTTGAATGGATTTACAGGTACATTTACTCTGCTTTTTCCCTAAAGGTGCCGGTGAGATGAACAGAGAGGGGGAAACAGGGAAAATACCAGAGTGGGGTTGAAGGAGGGGAGATGTACGTTTGTGAGGTCACTACCAGTCTGCATTATCCCAGGTCTCCTCGGCAGGTTTTGTGGGACTCTTCTTCGTCTTACCCTCTGCGTTCTCCCAGTTGTTGTCCCAGGCTTCCCAGCTCTCCTCTGTGCTGTGTTTGTTGTTGGACGCTCCCTCTGAGCCCCAATTGTCCCAACTGTCAGAGCTCTTCTTTGCAGAATTATCTACGTTGGTCCAGCTGTCACTGCTGGGGGATTTCTTGGCCTTTAAGGAGTTGCTGCTTCCAAAGGTTTCCCAGAAGTCCTTTGCGACAGGCTCGGTAGAACTGCCCTGATATCCCTCAGTGGCATCCATGTTCTGGTAGCTCTCTCCAGTAGACCTGAAGACAAGCAAAACATGTTTGAACAGTTAATGTTGCTTTGCATCAAGTCACGTAGTACAAAACATGTTGGAGATTTAGAATTGTATCAAGTTGTTGTCATTACCCATCCTCCGTTTTTCCCACGAAGAGATTAGTCAATTTGGAACCAGCTCCCTGGACCTAAAGAACAGAAACAGTTAAGCTAAGAATACTTTGACACAGTTGTTACTTGAAGTGTTTTTACAGATTGTGTTAAAAAGAAAAACATCTTAACAAAAATGTAATACAAAAGTAAAAACTAGCAATCATAGAAGTGATAATAAAAAGGAG